AGACGTTTTGAAATATCTACATAAAAATGTTTAGGGCCTCCTCATATTTCCACTCTTATGCAGCAGTAGTTTTCGGCAATACTGTCTGTCCCGTTATAGTAAACCAGAAGTCGATGCTTAGAAAATCATTCTAGGCTTTCTTTTTATTCAAAGTTCAACATCCTGATATTGCCGTTTATGATTTCGAAAGCTTTATTGATAGCTTTGAACAATACGTTAGTAATTCCGAAAATGTTCTGATTGTAGGCGACTTCAATATACCGATGCTTTATGATTTAAATATACGTAATGCGTATGCCACCTTCTTGCGCAGATTCATAGATTTTTTATCTTTGAAGCAGTGCAATAACATCAGTAACTGTGATGGTAGAATTCTAGACTTGATCTTGTACAAACGTAATTGTGCCATACTCGCCTACTTTATTTATACTAAATTCTTGATGTACGCAAACAGTGAAAACCTATTTTAATAAAATATCATGGCAAAATTGATATTTTTCACCTAATGCAAACGGATTTTTAAAGTATTTTATGTAATTTGCTGCGCCCTCTACACGGACAAAAAAAATTGTCATCGAGGCAGGCTGTGGTTACAAAAAATTGCTTGTCCTTTCCTCTTTAATGCGATATACTACATGTTGCCTTTATCTTTTAGATTTGTTACATTTTTTACAATTTTGAGAAGTGTAATATGTTTGTATTGTACTATCAATGCAATTTAAATTCTATTCGCACTTGCGGAATATAGAAAACCTTCGCTCTTAGGACAGAGCAATAAAATCAGCTGTTGGTAATAAAATACGTAGGCTGCTGGAAAAGTTGCTGCAACCGATGTGCAATAACGCATGCAAATTTTGAAAAATGGTTTTATTGTTTTTCAAAGTATTCGGCTTTGAGATCGATACACTGTTCCATGCGCTCGAACCAATTGGTGAAGGATGATTTCCATTCTGCAGCAGTAAGCTCTGAGACCAGTGTTCCGATGGTGTACTTTTGTTGGTTTCAACTCATTTTGAAACACACAAACAGTGGATTGTTGTTTGTTAACAGTTTAGAGACTGTAAATAAAAATAACATTTTAATTTTCAACTTTCAGTGTTATGTTGGATTCAATAATAATATATATAATAATAATAGAATGGTTGCCTTATTTCTGCTACCGTCATATGGAAAGCATGACGTGCTACATAATGTGTCCATATAGACCTACCATGAATTTCGAAAAACGGAAATTTCTGACTTCTGTAAGGATACTCATCTTTGACTTTACTTCTGATTAGAAACATCATAAGTCTTTATAACTGTGTAAGTGACATTGCAATGTTAAGACATTGTTCAATGGCAAAAACTTCTGCAAATTTTACCTAGACTTTTATAAGTGGAAATGGTAAACGGTCTTATAATAAACCTAAAAAAAAATGCGTGAGCATGGGCGGCGGAGGGTTGATTTAGGGGGTTGAAAAGTTATGAAAAATTTATTGTATCATTGGGATTTCTGGCCAAAGTTGACGTCAAACAAAAAAGTAATCCATACAAAAGTTGTAGATCATGCAAAAATCTACAAATTTTGTAGAGGTCACTTTTTAGCATAACCTCAAAATTTCCGAGAAAAATGGGAAAAACAGTTTTTTTCCTGATTTTTCGTTTTTTATTTCTCATTTCAATAATTTAATTTTGACGAAACTTGGCGAAAGTATACCTTTCTCTGTGTTAAATAACCTCAAAAAAAATCATCATACAAAGTTCTACCGGTAATCATTTTTTTCGTTTTAACATATACTTTTTGGTGAAAAAAAATCTGTAATAATAGTTCAAAAACATACTCAAAAATGCAAAAAAAAATTAAAAATTACTTGCAAAAATGAATTTTTCAGTTATTGTTGATAATTTGTTTAAATTAAAAAACATTCAAAAACTGATTACACCATTCAATTCTACGGAAAAAAATTAAAAAAACTGTCATTGTGTGACCCAAAACTTTATTTCTGTACAGTATTGCTTTGCTATAAACATCTGAGTCGAATTACAAATGCTCAAATGATAAATTATCTCTGGACGATTTAAGATTTCAGCAATACAAAGTATTAATTGCATAGTCTGCTGTTGACGCGAAATCCGAAAACCCGAAAATTTGCAAAATCGTTTTATTTTTTTTCTGGCTTTATTTGAAAACAAATTTTAAATAAATTGCATATTTACGTACCACTTTTTTCGCTCTATCCAATGGCGTCAACAGTTTTGCAATCCGACGTTTCGTCTTCGAAGGTCCATCATCAGATTAATTTTTTTAAATATATCGTTACTATTTTTATGACAAAATATAGCCATTTTTAATTCTGTATTAGATGATATTACTATTGTAATAGCTTAAAAAGGTTTTTAGCTATCATTAAAAATTTTTCCTGAGTACCACTCTGAACGCTTTCAAAATACCTGTACCTATTGGAGGAGAGAGAGAGAGAGAGAGAGAGGAGAGAATAAAAGCCAATACAGCACAAAATATCCAACAATTTTTTTTAATCCATCATTTAAAAAGTTGTACCTAATAAAAAAATAATACGAATTTATGAAATATTTTATTATTTCTAATTATAGTATTGCTAACAGTAAAAAATTGTTGGATATTTCGTGCGGTATTGACTTGTATATACTGTTATGACTTCATCCAATAGATATTTTAAAAGCGTTCAGAGCCGTACTCTGGAAAAATTTTAAATGATAGCTAAAAACCTTTTTAAGCGATTACAATAGTAATATCCTCTAACTAAGAATTAAAAATGACTAGATTTTGTCATAAAAATAGCAGTGACGTATTTAAAAAAATTAACCCGATGATGGCCCCTCGAAGATGAAACTTCGAATTGCAAAAATGTTGAAGCCATTGTATAGAGCGAAAAGAGAGGCATTGTAAATATGTAATTTATTTTAAAATTCGTTTTCAAATAGCCAGAAAAAATTTTGCAAAATTTCGGGTTTCTCCGGATATCTCCGGAACTACCCGGAATTTTAAAACTTTCTAAACAGCATATTGTTATGTATAAAAAACACAACTTTTTTTCTAATCTGAGCCACCCCGTATCTCTTACCGTTTCCTAGATCTTAATGCCTATCACATCCTTATCTTGGACACACTGTATATTTATATGAATTCAAAAAACTTTAAAAAAATAAGTACATTAATTGATCCTACGGGAAAAAAAATATTATTTATTTTATTTATTCACTATTCGACTTAATGTTCATAGCAATACTGCACAAAAATAGTTTTGGGTCAAACAATGAGACAGTTTCTTTTGTATTTTTTCCGTACAATTGAATGGTGTAATCAGTTTATGATTTTTTTTAAATTTAAACAAATTATCAACAATTACTGAAAAAATCATTGCTGCAAGTGGTTTTTTATTTTTCTGTATTTTTGTGCATGTTTTTGAACTGTGATTACAGATTTTTTTATTTCGCCAAAAAGTATATGTCAAAACGAAAAAAAATGATCACCGGCAGGACTCTGTACGATGATTCTCCTAAGTAGAATTTTTCTTTGAAAAAAAAAGTGTTTCAGGCCAAAAAAAATTTGAAGTTCTTTAAGACAGATAAAGGTATACTTTCACCAAGTTTCATCAAAATTAAATTATTTTTGCGGAAATGAGAAATAAAAAACGAAAAATAAGAAAAAAACGGTTTTTCGCATTTTTTCTCGGAAATTTTAAGGTTATGTTAAAAAATGATCTCTACAAAAGTTGTAGATTTTTGCATGATCTACAACTTTTGTATTGGATACTTTTTTGTCTGACGTCAACATTCGCTAGAAATCCCAACGATACAATTTTTCATTACTTTCCAACACTCTGCACCCCTGCTCACGCAATTATTTTTTTATCGTTTATTATAAGCCCCTTTACCATTTCCACTTATAAAAGACCAGGTAACAATTTTCTTTTTTTCCCCTCTAAATGACTTATTTTGATCGGTCTACATAAATTTCCCTTAACTACGAACATTGTTTATATAGTATTTTGTGTTATTATTTATACATTTTATATTATCTAAGTTTTATTTGTATAGAGACGGTTGCAGAGCAACATGAAAACAAAAAAGTTGTTGAAAAATCAAATAAAAATAATGACATGTTTTTCTAAATTCTGTTAATCTATTTTATTTGTGTACTACAACATTCAGCAAATAAAGAAATTTATTCAAATAAGCACAAGAGTTTATACAGTCCACTCTATCGAATAACAGTGGTGTAAACCATGTGTAAACTATATAAATGCTACAAATTTTCAATGCAACTTGTGATTTGTAAACCCCAAAATAATACATATTTATTCATGTAGGTACTTAAAATTACTTTTCAATCATATTCATGATGTGGAAATGTGGAATTTATAAGTTTTACGACTTACATATTACCATCAACTTAAACTGTCTATTTACACAAAATACGTCTATTATTTGTTTCAAAACGAAGTTGCGCAACTCGTTAATGACGACATACCAGAATCATTTGTTCAAATAAAATTGAAAACTGCTTAATTCGGATAACGCAACAGTAATTATATAAATATAGGGAAGTCAAGGAGAATAAAAAGTAAAATATTCAGATGTAAACCATTTTCGCCACGATCTGAAGAAGCAAATTAGGGCGGTGTACCAAATAATTCCAATTTTTGTCACATGTAATCCGTAATCTGGGATTCTGGGCTCGAGAATTAAAAACAATAATTTATTATGCTAGTTCGTCCGACAATAGGAGAGGAAGAAGAATATTTGCTAACGGCGCCATCTATTGACTCATTCTTTCCTTAGGTAGTGTGCTCTGTTGCCGACTCATGTGACGGTTCATCCAGTTCCAGACACCATTTCATCCATTTCTAACATTTTTCTACGAAGTTTATATGCCGTCGCCGTCGCTAAAGTAAATAAAATCAAGTTACATCATTTTGAAATGTCAATATTGTTTAATATGATTGATTTATTCATTATAGACATAATTTTGATAAGTAGGATAATTCTGGTCCATTTACGATAATTTTAGGCGGCGGTTACTATATTTGCCTCGCTTCAGGTTGTGAACATTGCCTTCCATTTTCCATCCAATGATTTAATTGAGGTTAAACAACGGGCACAAGTCACGATTGTATATTTACATTTCAAAGGAAATTGTCATGACTGGTGTTCAAGAAGAAATTCCCTGTAGGCTTTGCCTTAAAACTGTTATCGTTAAAAGTTTTGAAGTAATAGAAAACGTTATTAGAGATATTCTGGATGTTCTTTTGCTGAAACTGGTAAGTCTGTAAAGATCTTAGATAAGTGTGTAGCGACTTAACAGTAATTGTTAATTTCTGCCAAAGTTATTCTCTTTCTGTTTGAATAAAGTTACATACATTTCAGAAATTCGATGATGAGAGCAAAGATGTTATATGTAACGTTTGCAGAAGAAAATTATATGCGGCATTCGAATTCAAGTCAACATGTCTGAATACTGATAGCACAATTATTCCACATGTCGATTGCGAAAAAATGTTACAGCTCGACATAAGGGAAGTGTACAGGAAGGAAAAGAGGAACGAGTCAATTTCAGATGGTCGGAAAATATGTCGATTGTGTATGAACTTAGTAAAAAGTGAGTTTAGGTGCATTTGTGAAGAGGAACTTGAAGCTATCGAGAAATTGGCTCCTGAAATGGTATCAGTGATATTAAATAGTTACATTTTTCGAAATTTAATGAAACAAATTTGCAGAATATAAATATCATCAAAGATCCCGTTGTATGTAAGGAATGTTTTGATTCCCTGTGTACCCATAACAGTTTCCTTAGAGAATGCTTAGAAGTAGAGGAAAAAATAAGAGGTCTTTATGATAATTCAACCACAGAAAGTCGAATAGATACATTACCATCTGAGGTATTTATTAAGATTGAAAAGTTGGACAAAGAATTTGATGTTAGCGAGATGGAAATGTCGGTCAAAACTGAATGTGTTGACATAAAATCTGAAGATGGGGAAAGAAGGTAAGAGAAGACTGTTTTAGCATTGATTTAAAGCATGCCAGTGCCTGGTCGTAGTATTATCACTATACATACAATTAAATGGTTACATAAATATATATTAAACTCTTAATGCATAATATTGGCGTGTTACAAAAAGGAGTCGTATCATCCTAATGGAAGCAATCAATTACCAGATCAGTTTATAAGGTTCGTTATACACAAATTACTACAAATTATAGACTTACATTTGTTGCAAACAAAGAATTTTCAAGAAATTTAAATCGTATTTTAATGCAACTTGCCTCTGTGCTAAATTGCTTTATTTTGCCACTAAATGGCTTTCAAAAGTAATGTTTGTGTATAATTTAAATGAAATTTGTTGTGCTAGTACTTGTGTGTAGACCTCATTCGACATTGTAACAAAAGTAACTACATTTGCAGAAATCTGAATACCTACACTCCTATGTAAATCTGCTTATATATTTTTTTGCAGGGAACCTTATGACTCATGTTCTTATTTTATTTTTCAACTTTTTTTCTCGTAATCTTTTCTTGAATTTCTAATTATGAGTAATTTCTTAATTGTCACTTATTTATTTCATCGTAAAATTGAATTAATGCCGTGTATAATTCTTACACTTGGCATTACCTATAACCCCTTAATATTAAAGCCTTGCATTGGAAAATATCCTTCATATGCAATTTTTTCAGCGACGCGCTACTACAGAGCTCCCATAATGAATCATTCCAGAAGAGTTATTGTAAAGATGCGGAAAAGGATGGATGTAAACTTGAGTATGGATCAGCAAACAAATGTAATATGCAAGCCAAGCAGAAGCGCAATGTGTTGTATAGATGCGATAAAAGTATTTACAAAACTGGAAGTGAGATCCGTTCTAGGGCACATTGTGGGAGACACAAGAAAGACTCAGAAGTATACAAGTGCCAAACATGCCAGTTTGAAACTGAAAATAAGAAATTACTTCAAAGGCACCAATTGAGGCATAAAGATCCCTCGCATGTCCAGAAGTACAAGTGTAACGACTGCGATTTCGAAACTAAATACAAAGGTTATATCAAACGGCACCAGATGAAACATAAAGATCCTTCACAGGTTCAAATGTACAAGTGTAAAGACTGTGATTACGAAACTAAATACAAAGAATGTATCAAAAAGCATCAATTGATACATAAAGATCCCTCACAGGTGCAAATATACAGATGTAACGACTGCAATTTCCAAACTAAATACAAGGGTGATATCAGACGGCACCTGCTGAAACATAGAGATCCTTCACAAGTCCAAATGTACAAGTGTAACGATTGCAATTACAAAACTGCCCACAAGAATCATATCAAACAGCACGAACTAAAGCATAAAGATCCTTCACAGGTTCAAATGTTCAGGTGTACTGACTGCAGTTACAAAACTAAACACAGCAAACATATCAAACGACACCAACTGAAACATAAAGATCATTCACAGGTGCAAATGTACAGGTGTAACGACTGTGATTACAAAAGTAAATACAAGTCTGCTGTGAAAAGGCACCTACTGCAACATAAAGGTATTTTGCAAGTTCAAATGTACAGGTGTAGCGACTGCAATTACGAAACTAAATACAAGAGCGGTATTAAATATCACGTGTTGAAGCATAAAGAACATTCTTAAATCAGAATGTACCTGTTTGCTTTGCTAACAACCGAGCATAAGGAGTCTTTGAGAAGACCTCAGTCCATACCCAAAATACATATGCAGGTGTGAATTATCACCCATCGAAGTACAAAATATAGTCAAAATTTGAAGCACTTAAAACTGACCGTTGTAAATATTACATCGATTGTGAATATGTAATTATGAAGGAAAACGTAACGCTGACGTGGAAAACATGTTGAAACATAAAAATCTGACAGAAACGGAGAATGACAAGTGATTTTAGACTAGTATTTGTAGATATTCCTAATACCTACTTACCTGCTCTGTCTACATTTAGAAATTTTTCTAGAAAAAAGTTAGGAACAATAAAGTTTAACGCAAAATAAATATGCATTATTTCTTTTATGGAAAACTGTTTAGAACTGCTGACATTACTGTTGTATTTACCGGTTGAGAAATCAGCTATGCAGTGTTGTAGGTTATTTTAAAATTACATAAATGTGAATTACTGGAAGTCATATTGCCAATAAACTGACTTAAATTCGTTTTATTTCGTCTTCAAAACATTTTTTTTTGTGGCACGGACAAGGCCGATTTTCGGCGTTGAAGGAAAAGACTAGCTAAAAATATCGCTGAGAGTGCACCTGGTTTACAATTTATAAATAATTGATACACACTGTTTAACTATGTGTGTATAGACAATTTTCTGTGTATAGACGATTTTCTTAGTGACAACCCGTTTTCATACGATACGAGTTAAGAAAAAAATAAATGATCATTGTTTTAAACCAGATATTACAGAGGTTTTGAAATATCTCCAGAATATTTGTAATTAAGACTTGCGGAGCGGCGGAATTATAAAATTTAAAGTCTGTTGTAAAGAGAATTGTAAGAGATTTCAAAGAAATATTACTCTACCCCTAATGCCATTTAAATATTTTGGGGCGATGCTTACCCTTGCTTGGGGGGTGAAAGTGCGGAGTCAAAAATACCAGCAAAGATTAATTTAATCTAAAATCGACGGGTCTGAGCGTTTTTCTACAATCTTGACGCAGTCCTGAAAATGGCTCTGTTTCGTTTTCATTTAGCCACCCTGTATGTGCACAAATAAGATCCACACTGTAGAAATGTAATTGCCATTTGCGCTGTGTAGATGTCACTGCATTCTAAAGAAATTAGAAATAAGAAAATTATGTGAAAAAACAAATTCTGATCAGTTTTCGAAAAACCGCAAGCATTAGACTTAAAAGGAAAGAGTGTCTGCAAGTTGTTAACATTGCCCTAAGTTTTAGAGGGTGTCGACATACCCAAATCTTAGAAAGCGCTTGAAAATTTTCATATACCCCGCGTCAAAGCAGAAAACTTCTTTCCTGGAGTGATATTAACTTAATATAATAGATGTCGCACACATCGTTATTTATGCGAGTTTGCTCCATAAAGTTTTGTGATAAGATTTATGCAGATAGAAGAAGAAGAGAAACAAATGACTACCTACTTTAATTGAGGTTATAGTATTCGAAAGTGCTTTTTGATACGTTTGTATATTTATATTTAAAAGAAAATTGTAATGACTGATGTTAAGGAAACTTTTTGCAGGCTGTGCCTTATAAGCGTAACAGATGAATGTTTTGAAACAATAGATGATGTTATTAGAAACATTCTGGATGCTCTCTTGCTGAAATTGGTAAGTCTGAAAGATATGAAATTCATAGCTACGCAATTGTATCATAATCAGTTCTTATTTTCACTTAATCGTAATGACCTGTCAATTTGTATACGTTTTAGAAATTCAATAGCAAAGATGTGATATGTAACGCTTGTAGAAGAAAGTTAAATACGGCATTGGAATTGAAGTCGATGTGCTGCAATACCGATAACGTAATTATTCCATATGCTGATTCCAAGAAAATGCTACAGTTGGATTTAAGGGATGTTTATATGAAGGAAAGGGCAAGTGAACAGGTAACGGATATTTCACAGGATCAAAAAGTATGTCGATTGTGTATGCAACCAGTAGAAAGTGAGTTTAGGTGCATACTCAAAGAGGAGTTTGTTGCTATTCAGAAATTTGTTCCAGAAATGGTACGAACAATAAAAATTAACATTTTTGCAGTTATAAAAATTAAATTTTTCAGAACATAAACGTTGTTAAAGATCCCGTTGTATGTAAACCATGCTTCGACTCTGTGTGCACTCACAACAGTTTTTTGAAAGAAGTAGAGGAAAAAATTAGAGGTATTTGTGATAATCCTACCACAGAGAAGGAGGGTGGAACACATGTTTCGCCATCTGATTTGTTCATTAAGACAGAACATTTGGATGAAGGATTGGATGTTAACGAGATGGGAATATCAATCAAAACTGAATGTGTCGAGATAAAATCGGAAGAAGCTGAAGAAAGGAGGTGAGTGGACCTGTTTGATATCACTCAGACTAACGGGTAGTGTGTACAGTACTCTATTATCTGCGATTTACTTACTTTTTGACTTTTTTCCAGTGAATTGCCATTGGGAAGCTACGATATTGAAACATCAGAGATCAGCGACTATAAGAACGCAGAAACACGTACTTTGGTACTTCACATGAACAAACGTGGCACAAAAGCCAGTCGGCAGGGAAATTTCACATCCGTTTGGTTCGCTCCGAGTAAAGTAACTTACAAGTGCAATGAATGTACCTATGAAACCGAAAGCGAGAGCCGCTTTACGGCACATTGTACAAGACATAATAGCATCTCGGAAATGCACAAATGCGATACGTGCAAGTACGAAACGAGCAACAAGAAAACGCTCCAGCGGCACCGATTACGACACCAGGATCCCTCGCAGGTCCAGATGTACCCGTGCGATCTGTGCGATTTCACGACAAAGTACAAGTCCTGCCTCAAGTACCACCAGTTGAAGCACAAAAATGCCTCGGAAGTTCAGATGTACTCGTGCGAGAGCTGCGATTATAAAACTAAGCACAAGCGGTATCTGGTGCATCACGCGTTGAAGCATCAAGACTCGTCGCAGTTGATAATGTACAAGTGCAAGGTTTGCGATTACGAGTCGAGGTATAAGAAGAATCTGACGTACCATCAGTTAACACATAAGGATCCATCGCAGGTCGAAACGTACAGGTGCAAGGACTGCAACTTTGAAACGAAACACAGAAGTAACATCAAGCACCACTTGCTGACGCATATAGATCGTTCGCATCTGCCGAGATACAGGTGTAACGAGTGTGAGTATGAATCGACGTATAAGAGAAATTTGACTCGACACCAGTTGACGCACAAAGAGTGATTTTAAGTGAATTTAAGCCAAAAAGTTGAAATTTTTCAAATATTTTCATTTCTAAGATGTCTCTGAAGATGTTCGATGCAGAGTGATGAAACTTAGTCTAATGATCTAACTAATTAAAGATTAAAATACACTGAATTCAGATGTAAAAGTGTGTACCGGTGGTAGAGATGGAAGGAGGTACTTTCACTGAAAACCCTTGAAATCGATTCTATAAGCGACAGCAATAATTATTTCTTTAATGCTACTCATAGATAATGAAAAAAATTAAATTTTGTCACATGATAAAAAGCGCATTATGACATCATTTAGTGCGACAGAGAAACCAGTTTGTTTTGATGAGACGGAACCTAACTTCAAGACTTGTTACCTGCATTTTGTTGGACTGTCCTGTCCTGTTTTCCTCTCGGTCGCACTAAATGACGTCACGAATTAGCGGCAACAAACGCCCGTTTAAAACATTTTGCCCGACAAACTTTATTATTGTTAATTAACAACCTCTAAGAGATTTCTAATTTCTTTACATGATTGTATATTATAAATTATTTCTAAACATTTAACAAATATTTGCGATTTGTCCGTTCTAAAGTGATTTATTTTACAAATAAGAGGGAAAAAACATTCTATATGACATCTAGCAAAATTAGTTGATACTTTTGAAAATTAGTTTCAAATTGTAATTAAGTTAATAAATGACTTGCTATTAACATATTTTATTTCATTTTGTGTGGTCATTGTTTATATAAACAGTGGTGTGGTACACCGTTTGACGATTCAACTTTCAACATTTTCAGTACGCCCCCTGGTGGCAAATACTAGAAATTTCAAGAAGAGTAATGTTTTGTTTTAATGTTGATTAATTTCCACATTGTATGTGACAAGTTCGAATATTGAGAATATAAACTTAATTTTGGAATAAAAAGCACAAGCTTTATTTGTATTATAACTAAATGTTTACCTCAATAGGCTACCAGCTCATGAACCTAGTAAATTTAAATTACAATGAATGGACCATATTTAAAATTATAAAGTTCTATGTTCCATGGGGCTGTCAGGGCGCCAACATACTTCTTCTTCTTCTCTTTTTAACAATGCGGCACGCACTTTTTATATGTATGTTAGAGGCTCTCCTAAAGAGTCACTCTAAAAGTAGAAGAAGAAGAAAAACAAACCTCTCAACCTTTGATGTTTTTAATTATTTAATTGAGGTTATAATCGTTGTAAATAGTACTGTCAAATCTATAATAACTACTAGTTCGGGTTTACGGATTTGCGTTTCAAAGAAAATTGTTCTAATGGGTGACTCTAAGGAAACTTCGTGTAGGCTTTGCCTTAAAAGCGTAACAAATAAATGTTTTGAAGTAATTGACGATGTTATTAAAAACATTCTAGGTATTCTCTCGCTGAAATTGGTAAGTCAGTGACGTACATTATACAGGGTGTTCCTAAATAAGTGTCGCAACGGAACGCTGTATATTCCTCTTGCAAAAAGAAACATTATTTTCCTCTTCCATTTTTCTCTTCGGGCTTTCGTTTTCGAGATACACGGTGTCAAAACTTTCATTTTTTTTAAATTTTTTACCAATATCTTAGGAACCGTTTGAACTACAGGACTGAGTTTTTGTATCCCCATTACCACTATTATTAGCTACTTTTTTGCACCCTTCTTGAATTCATTGAACGTACCAGTGGTGGAGATTTTAAGGTATCATAAGGGTTCTTCCCCCCCTAACTTTTACGCCACTGGAAAAATTGACATTTGACAGCAAAATCTAAAACGCCAATGAATTTTACACAAAAAGAGTTCTCTTGGTTCATTGCTCTAAAGTCAACCGTTTTCAAGAAAAATTACTTTTTATGAACAAAAACAAACATTTTGCTAACGTTTCGAAAATCTTTTGTAATTCAAAAGATAGATAGTAATAATTAACAAGTTTAACGAAATTCAACAACATTTGCAACAAGTAGCTATTAATAGTGGTAATGTGTGTACAAAAGGTCAGTCCTGTAGTTCTAACGGTTCCTAAGATATTGGCAAAAATCTGAAAAAAAATTTTGACACCGTGTATCTCGAAAACGAAAGCCCGGAGAGAAAAATGGAAGAGGAAAAAAATTTTTCCCTTTTCTAGAGAAATATACAGGTTTCCGTTGCGACACTTATTTAGGAACACCCTGTATTTAAACTCGAATATCTAACCACGTTACTATAAAGCGACATTTAGCCACCTTAACAGTGTAATTAATTTAAATTTTCTCTACATTGTAACCTTGTTCTGCTCCTATTTCAGAAATTCAATAGCGAGAGCGAACAAGTAATATGCAACGCATGTAGAAGAAAATTAAATGCGGCATTGGGATTTAAGTCGATATGTTGGAATACCGATAACGCAATTGTTCCGTATGTGGACCGCGAGAAATTGTTACAGCTCGACTTGAGAGAAGTTTATATGAAAGAAAAAGGCAGCGAACGCTTAATCGATATTTCTTGCGATCAACAAGTATGTCGTCTGTGTATGGAGCTAGTAGAAAGTGAATTCAGATGTATTCGTGACGAGGAACTCGAAGCTATTAAAATATTCGTTCCGGAAATGGTATGAACGATATTTCCATTTTTTTGCAGTTACATTTTAAGTCATATATTGTAGAATGTCACCACCGTCAAAGATCCCGTTGTATGTAAACCCTGCTTCGATTCTCTGTGCGCTCACAACACTTTCCTTAAAGACTGCTTAGCGGTAGAGGAAACAATTTGTGACAGTCCTGTCACAAAGCGTCAAACAGAGGCGCTGCCACCTGATTTGTTAATTAAGATTGAAATGCTAGACGAAGAATCCAAAATTGACAAGGCGGGGACAACATTCAAAACTGAATTTGTCGACGTGAAATCAGAATATGAAGGCAGATGGTAGGAAAGAATTATTTTTATATTAATTCAAGTGTTTTAGATAGAACCACCGGGCTTATACAATTTTTTTTTCAGCGATGGACTACCGGGTCGTTCGAATAATGCAATGTTTGAGAACGACTTTAAACATGCACAAGAGGGGGGATGTAATCATGATGAGAGTGGATCAATCAGAGAATCGCTCGCATCAACTGAAGTATCGAACGAGTGTGACAAATGTAATTATGAAACTGAAAGCAATATCCATTTTCTGGCGCCACACGAAAACTTTTACAAACCGCACAAATGCGGACCATGCGAGTATGAAACCGAAAATAGCAAATTACTGCAGACGAATAAAGATGTTCGGATGTTCAAGTGCGATCTGTGTAGCTACGAATCGAAGTACAAAATGAACCTCACTCAGCACCAGGCAAAGCACAAAAGTACATCCGAGGCGATATTGTACAAGTGTGACGATTGCGATTTCCAAACAAAGTACAGATCCGGTATTTACCGTCACCGTTCCAGGCACAAGGACTCCTCAGAAGTACCAACGTATAAATGTACCGACTGCGAGTACGAAACCAGGACGAAGTACAACCTCACAACGCATCGGTTGGTGCACGACAATCCTTCCGGAGCACGAAAGTACACTTGTACCTTGTGCGAGTACGAAACCAGCTACAAATCTAACTTCAAAAGCCACCAGTTGAAGCACGAGAACCCTTCGGCCGTCCAAATGTACGTTTGCGAGGACTGCGACTATAAAACCGAACAAAAGCATTACCTCGCACGACACGCCCTTAAACATAAGGATTGCTCGCAGGTGCCCATGAACAGGTGCAACGTTTGCGATTACCAGTCGAAGTACAAGAAGAATCTGATTCGACACGAGTTGACGCACAAAGACGCTTCGCAGGTGCAGACGTACAGGTGTAACGACTGCGATTTCGAGACTAAACACAGGGGTAACATCAAGTTTCATGTGTTGAAGCATAGGGACCGTTCCCAGGTGCCGCTGTACCGGTGCGAAGTATGTGAGTACGAGTCGATGTACAAGAGGAACTTTACCCTGCATCAGTTGAAGCACAAAGACGCGTCGCAGGTTGAAATGTATCGTTGCGACGCCTGCGACTTTGAGACGAAGTATAAGAAGAGTTTGAAGTACCACAAGCTGAACCACAAAAGAACGGTTACAAACGTTTGAGGGTACTTTCCACCGTTTTTATCTGGTGTCGCAATATTCCCGAGGTTGGATGAGGATAAATGGGACAAATTGCCTTGAAAAATTATAACACAGAAGGGCCAGAAATGTCATTTTTGGTTGTTTCGTAAATCAACCAATACGCTTTTTTCTTTTGATAACAAATCTGGTTTAATTATCAAAAATTCAATTTTTTTGTTAGTTAAAACCGAAACGATGTTGAGAATTTTCTAATTTCAAGAAACAAAATGAATCTCGTTCGTTTCAGATTCTTGTTATTTTGTTGTTTATGTGTTGAATTCTTCTAATTTAAATATTTGCTAATTTTAACGCCATCTAGCGGCTAAACTACGCAGCTTGATACAGACATAAGAAGCGTTAAAACACCATCTTTAAACATTTTTAACAAATAAATGTACTGGAAAATGAATAACATTAATGATTTTTTGGGACTTTAGATAATTACGTTATATTTAAAAATGTATTTTTAGTTAAAACAAAATCCTGTATGTATTTTTTGTGATGTGAATAGTTGAATTGTTTTCGGTTAATTCAGCCGACATTAACTTAAAAATAAAAAACAATCGGAAAATAACCTATTTTTTCAAAGTTAATATCACCTTTCTCACCTTTTTGCTTAAGAACTAGTGTGAATGAAATGCACTTATCAAATTTGTTTTACTTATATTTTGTTGATTTTTAAATACAACAATTTTTTCCTTTTACTATAGTTTTTTATTGTCTAGGTTTTGTACAAAAATCTTAGTCATATTGTTAAAAAAAAAAATGCCTTTTATAATCGTTGTCAGTAACTGTAAAACTAATCGTTATTTATTTTTGTTAAAAGTTACATGACAAAAGAAAACTTTATAACTTTTCAATACTTCAAGTAATTTTAACCAACTGTTTTCAGGAGACTATGTCGGGTACATTTTTTATGTTGTCCATTAATTTTTCGTTTTCTGTTTCCCATTCCCAGTTTCCAGAATTTAGTCAAATTGTCATTGAACATAAATATAATCAAAATACCAAACAAAATTTTTTTTTGGACGCTCTGTATCTCAAGAATCAAGCCGTTGCAAACCCATGTTCATATAAACTTTTTATCTTAAAATTAGTCAAAAGATTCACCCTTTAAAGTTTGTACAAGCGCGCCATTATTCTATGGCTAGAAATTGGCCTCAATGATTTGGGATCGAGGGGGATTATCCCTCTTTATCCTGCCTCATCTCGTGTAGGCCTGGACAGCCTTCGTAGGTGGGCCCCATCCGTCGTCTACCCCGACCGCAAATGCGGCCGGTGTAGGCGCTTTGTGGGACCTCCTTTTGTCCTGGCTGGGCCCCGCCGGCTAGGGCCCTTTCTTCTGGCGCTCTTCTTGCTTCGCCGGCTCGTCTGTGTAAACCCCGGGGGTAGTGTCATGTTTATGTGTGGTATGGTTGGGTAGGNAAAACCAGTCTCTGGATCCGGGCCTGTGTGGCTATCAGGTAATGTGATTATTCTCGTGTGCAATTTTTGCAATGCGGCACTAAACGATGCCTTTTAGACAAGTTACAGTTCTCCATATCAAAAATATACAGCCTCTTACACTTGCAGAGCAATTAAAGTGTATTACATACCAAAAAACGTACAAATAAATACAAAACTGAATAATTTTATTAAATATTTAAATAAAATAAAAATTAATTACGTAGAATATTGAACTTACCGCGGTTTTTGGTTAGTCCGTTTTATTCAAACAGCTGTCAAAGATATTACCACATATTACCATAGTTACCAACAGTTTTTCTTTTGTTTTGAACAATTTCTTCTGCTGTCTAGTTTTGTCGATGTTTAATTGAGGTTATGAGTCGCCCGCTAGAGAATATTACTGCAATGAATCCGAGTGATTTTAAGGAAACTTCGTGTAGGCTTTGCCTTAAAAATATAACAGAAGAAAGCTTCGAAGTAATAGACGATGCTACGAGAGATATTCTAGATGTTTTTTTGCTGAAACTGGTAAGTCGGTGAAACAGCTGAAGCACTACTCTTAACGCTTGTAAAGCAACTTGCAATAATAAATTTACATTCTTACTTCATTGTAAATTTATTTCACTATTATTTCCTTTGGGCTTAGCTGAAGTTGTATATATTTCAGAAATTTGGTGACGGAAGCAAAGTAATATGTAATGCTTGTAGAGTAAAACTGAATGCAGCGTTAGAATTTAAAACGATGTGTTGGAATACTGATAACACAATTATTTCGTATATGGATTGCGAGAAAATGTTACAGCTAGATTTAAGAGAAGTTTATATGAAAGAAAAGGCAAGCGAACAGTTAACTGATGTTTCGTACGATCAAAAAATTTGTCGATTGTGTATGCAACCAGCAGATAGTGAATTTAGATGTATACTTGAAGAGGAACTCGATATTATTGAGAAATTCATTCCGGAAATGGTATAAATATTAACTACTTGCGTTATTTGCAGCTTCAAAAATTGTATTTTGTAGAACATAATCATCGTCAAAGATCCCGTTGTATGTAAAGCGTGCCTCGATTCTCTGTGCTATCACAACAGTTTTCTAAAAGGTTGTTTAGAAGTACAGGATAAAATTAGAACCTTTTGTGATAGTTCAACCACAGATGGACAAATACTTGCATCATCATCTGATTTACGTATTAAGACTGAACACTTGGAGGAAGAATCCGATGTAAAAGAAATGGAAATATCAATTAAAACTGAATTTGCCGAGGTGAAATCGGAAGAAAGTGTGGAGGGAAGGTAAGAAACAATTAATTTTATTTGTTACGTATTTTTATGTTGGGTAGTTATAGCAGAAAATTCTCAAGCGATCACAAAATTTACCCACAAATTTAACGTAAATATATAGAAATGTATCTAACTACATAAAATTATATTTTTTTTATATTAAAAAAATATCATCCCAACCTAATCCTAAGTTTATGTAGAAATTATTAAAGTAATAGATTCACTAAACTATTTTTTTTAATAAAGAGAACAACCTAAGGTTTCTTAACTAAATAAATTTCTATATAATGTTAGGTTAGGTCAGGTTAGATTTTTTAAAACAAACTAGTTCTGATCAAATCTAACTTTATGTACATTTTTAAATTAAATAGAAAAAAGTAAGCTGACCTTACGTAATTTTATGTAGAATTTATTAAAGAATTATTAGAATTATTACAAATTTTAATATTTCATTGCTTTTTATTTTATTCAGTAAAAAAAACCTAACCTAATTTTATGTAGATTCGCAGATTTCTGCATAAAGTTAGGTTAAGTTAATTTTTTTACTTTTAAAGTTAGGTTACATTAGGTTGTTTTTTATATTAAATAAAAAATAACCTTATTTTATATAGAAATCAAATAATTGTGCATCCTGACAGCCTACAAACATCAAAATTTGTGTGCTGTCCTAATTTTGACTTATCTGATAGCGAAGCTTATAAAATTAAAGGTTATAAAAATGACAGATGAGCAAGGTAGAGAAAAATTGTTTATAGTCGATGAAAATAAAGGTATGAATATAAGCTATATACAAACAAATAATTTTTCTGTTCTTAAAAAAAACATGGAAAATATTTCTCCCAGATTTGTTATATCCATAATCACAGTTTTAAACGATATGTAGACTATGTTGTGTTGGAAATAGTGATTTGAGTGTTGTTGAGGTTACAGGAGTGGGGAGGGATAACAAAATTTTGTGAGGATTTGAGAATTGTCCACTATACAAGGTGTTTCCAGCCTTGCCACATCTTTTAACTGGATGAAGTTCGTAAAAAGGGTAATTTTACTAAAAGTCTCTTTTATAGCAGTCGCAAATGACAAATATATACCAGTTTAATGGGTCAATTCTACATTTCTTTCTAAATTTACAACTTTATAAGCTACGATTAACCAGTAAATAACATGTTTACAGAATCGTAAGTCATGCAGTTCTGGTACTATCCCAGTAACCTTCCTAGTTGCAGAGATACAAAAGAATGCAACTTCGCTCCATTGAATTTGTTCACTTACAAACGTTCTTTATATAAAATGAGATCAAAAAGATAGAGTACAGGTTTTTTGTTCATGTTATACTCCAAAATACTGCGATTTTTGTTGGGGTGAATTATTCCAATGCGTAAATAATTCTGGGAAAATGCTCATTCCTAACAACGTGCACGATAGTGGATACACCCAGACTTATCTAACTTTAAAAATTAGTTTTTCATTTTCGTTATTTGAAAGATATTCTTTCTTTTTCGAGTGCTGTGTCCTGTTAATCACTGCATAGATGATCTTTTGTAAAATTACCCAGATTTACGAGTCCTACATTCATTTTAAAAACTTTAAGAATACCTTGTGGTAAATAATTACCTGATGGAAACTTGTGTTTTAATTGTTCCAGAAGCGGCGAATCTTCCTCGAAACGACGAATATACAAGTGTGAAATGTGCGATTACGCGATGAAATATCACTCTGGCTTCAAGTGCCACCAGCAAAAACACAAGTACCCTTCGGAGGTCAAAATGTACTCGTGCAAACACTGCGACTATAAAACAAAATACAAGTATTACCTCACGTGCCACTCTCTGAAACATAAAGACTCCTCGCAAGTGCAAATGTTCAAATGCGACGCCTGCGACTATGAAGGTAGATACAAGAAAAACTTGACCCGTCACCAGCTGACGCACAGGGATTCCTCCCAGATTCAAATCTACAGGTGTAACGGTTGCGATTTTAAAACCAAACACGAGCGTAACATGAGACGTCACATCTTGAAACACAAGGACCCGTCGGTGATCGAAATGTACACGTGCAAGGACTGCGATTATGAAAGTCGACATAAGCGGTACCTCGTACGTCACACCTCAAACCATAAAGACGCCTCGCAAGTGCCGATTTTCAAGTGCGACGAGTGCGATTACAAATCGAAGTGCAAGACGAACTTGGCTCATCACCAGTCGGTGCACAAGGTTCCCTCCGAGGTCGAAACGTTCAAGTGCAACGACTGCGACTTTCAAACTAAACACAAGAGCAATATCAGACACCACTTGCTGTCACACAGGGACCTTTCCGAAGTTCCGCTGTACAAGTGCAACTACTGCGGGTATGAAACGAAGTACAGGAGAAATTTGAAACGTCATCAGTTGACACACAAAGAATGTACAGTGATTGAGTGAGACTAAGCACAACGTGAAACATCAGACGTAGGTCCACAAAAAAATGGTTACAGACGTTTAAGGGCAGCTGTTACAATATTTGGAATTAAGGATAAATAAAAAAGAGGAAAATTTTTTTCGATTTTCTATGTTTATCAGGCTTTCCAAATACGTCATTAAAATTAATGACATTATGATTGTATCACCCTGTATTACCTCGTTTTATTCTCAGTTGATTGATAGCTGAGATCTCGGTACTCTGAATTCTGATTCCTAATTTGGCATCGGCGAACACCCCCCAAACACTTGGTGCACCGGAATCTAATGTTCCTTCCTAAATTTTCCACAACACAGGGATCATTCAAATACTTTAAAATAATTTAAAAAATGCAACACTAAATATATTACAATTGTCACAGCCGTCACTATTATTCAATTTAAATCAAGTACGGAAAGTATTACAGCGCTTCTGGTGGTAGCTCCAATAGTCGCAATTAGCGAAAGACCACGCGCATATATAAGAAAGAGTTCCATCTAGATATTATTTGTCTATGGTGCAAAAGGTTCATAAATACTCATATTTACAATGTTTGGTAAGTTACGTGATTATATTCTTTATCAAGAAGAAGAAGCAGAGTAGTAAAATTAAAATTGCATTTTAGGTTAGGTTAGAAACATATTTGTTATGGACGCTATCAGTTTTTTATAAATTGCGTATCGAATATTTGAAAAAAATTTCTCAGTGATGACACTCAACGAATACTCTTGTCGGCTCTGCCTTAAGACAGACGAAAAGTATGAACTAATAGATGATTTTACCAAAGACATACTAAATGTTCTCTCGCTAAGACTGGTAAGTCGATAGAAGGTATCACATTCATCTTTCTGATTAATAAATAAGATTTTACCCTTTACAGATATTAGATGACAGGAAAAAACCCCTAATGTGTACCACCTGCAGCGAAAAAATAAAGTTAGCGTTAGAGTTTAAATCAATTTGTTTGGCTACCGATGATACTATTTTCCCTTACATCGATTGCGAGGAGTTGCAACTAAACCTGAGAGACATTTATATGAAGGAAAGTGGAAGTAAGCAATCCATAAATTTGTCAGTCGATCAAAAAGTGTGCAGTTTATGTATGCAGCTAGTGGGACATACATTTATAGATATACGTGAAGAAGAGGTTAAAACTATTCACAAATTCGTTCCCGAAATGGTACGTATGGCCTTAACAAGCTTGTAAATTGTTTATAAGTGAAAGTATCTTTTGAAGGAAAATATTTTGCAGAATATCAACGTCGTTAGGGATCCCGTTATATGTAAACGCTGTTTTGAGTCCCTCAACGCACATAATAGTTTCCTAGGCCACTGTTTAGAGGTAGAGGAAAAAATTGGATATATGGAAATGGAGGTTAAAGATAATGAATGTGACGAAATCTCCGTTACGTCTCGAGGCATTGACAAAAAATTTGAGGAAAAACAGCAAGGGAGGTATATATATTTATTACGCTTTTCAGTTTTGTGAATATTTTGTTAGGGAGCTACATAATTACGTCACACTTATTTTTCTTTAACTTGTGTCTGTTTGTTAGTTGTTTAGTTGTACAGTTTTTGTATTTTTTCAGTAATTTAAGGGAGAAAATCCACAGCGGAACGCAAAATGTAGAAGAAACGAGCATTATCCGTGCTCGGACGGAATTCGATACCTTAGAACGTGAAGAAGCTCCGTCGGAATTAGAAATTCGTCCGTTAATGGATAACGATCAGTCCCGCACACAGATACACGATGTTCCAAAACAGAAAGATGCCTTAGAGGTGCAGTCGCATACACTGAAAGGAAAGAAACCTCCAGAAGTGCAAGTCTACAGCTGTCAAGTGTGCAGCTTCCAAACTAAGTATAACAACACATTTCGGAAGCACCAGTTCGCACACACGTGCCCCGACGTACAATTACTCAAATGTAAAAAATGCTCTTACAAGACTATGTACAAGGCACAACTTACTGTACACAAGAGAACCCACAAAAAGCACTCCAACACACAGATATACAAGTGTGAAAAGTGCAAGTACCAAACGACCGTCGGTAAACTTTTACGTAAACACAATCTGATGCACGAGGAGTACGAGGGTACACAAATGTACGCATGCGACAAGTGTAAATACCAAACGAAGATCTGGGATTATTTCCGTAGACACCAGTTGAAGCACGAAGACACGCCACATTATAAGTGTGATAAATGTGAGTATCAGTCGAATGTAAAGAGATATTTCAATAGACATCAGTTCTTGCACGGAGAAGGCACAAACACGCAGGTGTACGTCTGCGGAAAGTGCGAGTACCAGTCGAACAACACAAATTATTTCCGTTGGCACCAGTCGAAACACGAAGAGAACAAAGGGGCACGAACGTACAAATGTGACATTTGTGAATACCAGTCGTGTATTAGGAAAGATCTACGCGTGCACAAGATGACGCACGAAGAGTACAGTGGGACGCAAAATTACAAATGTGGCAAATGCAAGTACCAGTCGAATATCAGGAAAAACTTCTATAGACACCAGTTGTGGCACGGCGAGGGCAAAAACATAAAAATATTTAAGTGCGAAGAGTGCGACTACCAGTCAACAGTCAAGATTTATTTCTGTCAACACCAGTCGAGGCACAAAAAGTACAAGGGGACGCATATATACAAATGTGACGAATGCAAATACCAGTCGAAGATTAGGAAAAATTTCCATAAACACAAGTTGACGCACGAGAGGCGCAAAAACTCGGGAACGGGTGAGTACGGGTCGACCATCGGGACACATTCCGATCAGTAGCGATTATTGGGATGCGAAGAACAAGGAATCAACAAGAAGTGAATGATAGAGTTCTGCTCTACCAGCAACAACATAAGCGTTTTATTGTGTTTTAGAGGTTATAAGGATTTGTTTCGATTCCATAAATAAACGAGTAGATACTAAATTGTTTTTTGCTCTTTTTTATGTATCTTCATGAACTCAATTCGACACATGCAGATTGTCGATTTTTACGATTATTGAGAAAAATTTTAAAAAATTTGCTTAATGAATATAATTTTTATTATGGGTAATAAATTTAATAACACATAGTCTAGGGAACGAAGAGAAAAATGGCGTAAAACCTCCCAATACCTTGGATAGATCTGATTTGTATGAAAATTTGGAATTAAGCTTATTTATTTCACCCTGTAGATGAAAAGTTACATATGCTTGATATGCGCTTCTTATTTTTAGGGGATGAAAACCACCCTTTTTGCTAAAAAACTGAATAAATATAAAATAGATGTTATATAGACTAAAATTATATCTTAATATACAGGGTGTCCGCAAATTTCACCGACAACGTTTGACTGCATATTCGGAACGATAAATAAATACGATCTACAAAAAAAGAGTTAAATAATTTTTATTTAATTTTTTTTTATCGTGAATATGCTGTCAAATGTAGATGAAATTTTTGACACCCTGTATAGAATAAATATTGTTTTATATTGTGGGTTATAATTTACGTTATTTTTATTAAGTTTAAACCCTTAAAAACTACCCTTAATAATAAAAATATAAAATGAAGTTTCTTTGACCTTAAAATATCTTTATAGCACATATATTATCGATAGAAATCTTTTTAACAGTTTATGGTATTATAAATAATTTATTACAATATTTCAACCCTTAAAAAAGTACCCCTAATAAAAGAATATTTAAAAAAAATAGTTTTTAACAGTTTGAAATGATTTGATGGTACAAATAGGATAAATTAAATTCTTATCGCATTGCTTTAACCCTTAAAAACCATCCCCAATGAAAAATGTAAAAAAAAAATTATTTTAAATGAATTATAATGGCATCCTAGTGTTTATCAGACCACTGGGTTTCTTAAAAATCATCTTTCATTATTCAAATAAAAACAATTTTATACATTTATAGTTGACGAGTAGAATTATTAAAAGATTAAAGGGAAAACGTGAAGGTAGTCTGTGTATATAGGCTGTTACAAATTCGCTTCTCACTAACATTACGCCTCTAAAAAATCAAGGCTAACATGATTAGTTTCCGAAATATTTGAAAAAAAAAAACAGAAATTTTGGAAATCCGTTTTTGTTTAATTTCAGCCTTGTTTGAGGCGATATTGAAAAAAGAATAAAACTTTCTCAGGGCCCCTTTGCCCTCTATCGAATAGCATAATCAATTTTTATGTGTAACGTTTCGTCTGTCCAGGACCATCATCAACTTCATTTTTTTAAATACGACCCTGGAAATTTTATTACATTTTTTGCATGCCTTCATGACCCCCAATACTGTACTGCCTCAGCCCGAACCAGATTCAGACGTTTTGTCTGGAAAAATTCATCTTCAGTGCATTCGCTCCAAATATATCTAAATTTTTTATTTAGATTTCTTTGTTTATTGAATTATCTTACACTGTAAGTGTCGTTAGACCCTGTGAAATCCATCCCGTTATATAAACTATTTATTTATTTAGAAATTACAATATCCAAAATATAAATACTACATAACATAGAGCAATCAAAATATAAAATCCAGACAAAAAACTTAAGGATAAACAATAACAGACAGATAAAACAAATAAGCTAACAAACATATACAAGATAAGGATTACATTTACTAGACAAACAATTTTTTTATGTCATTCATACAATGAAAAAATATATCAAGTCGATCTTCATACTTCTGGTAATTGGAAATCATTTGATATAGGGGAGATGCTATTAGTAAGTTGGTACGAGGTGTGGGTAATTGTAAAACGGAGTGAAATCTAGAATTAAGTCTAGGAACATGATATAAAATCCTTGAGACTAACGAGTCTGCATTTAACGTGTTATTTATGATTTTAAAAAGGAATATAATTGAAAACATAATTCGCCTACGACAGAGACTATTAAAATTAAAACAAGAAAGCAATAAATCTTGAGGTGTACCACGAGGAGGATAAAATCCATAACTAATAAAATGAATAGTCTTTAAAAATCTCCGTTGTACTTTCTCTAAATGAATATTATAGATATTATAAATGGGACTCCAAACAACCGATGCATATTCAAGTTTGCAACGCACAAATGCTGCATACAATATATTTAGAATCTTTACGTTCTGAAAGTCCTTAGAATTACGCAAAATAAAGCCTAAATTCCTATAAGCAGATTTGGTTACTAAACTAATGTGGTCGTCAAACGATAATCTGGTATCGAAAGTAACACCAAGGTCAGTAAATTGCGTAACTCTATTTAAAAAAGATTCACCAATTTTATAATCAAAATCTAGATTAGTTTTGCGTCGACTGTAAGTCATAAATTTACATTTACTTACATTCAGAGGTAGATTATTACATGAACACCAATTGTGTAATCTGTCAAGATTATCTTGTAATGTAGTACAGTCAGTAGATGATTTAACTTCCAAGAATAACTTCAGGTCGTCCGCATATAGTAAATAGTTGACATCGAGGCATTCAGTTAAGTCATTAATAAAAATAATAAATAACAGTGGTCCCAGAATTGACCCTTGCGGAACTCCTGAAGATTGATGGAATTTACATGATTGAAAGCCTCGATACTGCACAAATTGGTACCTATTACTAAAATAGGATTTAAACAGAGTTAATAGAGCAGGAGATATACCATAAGACTCCAATTTCAAAGTTAATAAATTGTGATCAAGCCGATCGAAAGCTTTGGAAAAGTCGGTATACACAACATCAACCTGACTTCCTGCATCCAAAGCTTCAACAATAAATTGGGTTTTCTCAACTAGATTTGAGGTAGTTGAACGACCACTGATAAATCCATGTTGGTACGGAGATATAGATTTTTCAATATGAAAATAAAGTCGATTGTGTAAGATAATTACTTATAATAGCTATGGGCCGATAATTAGTTATGTCGTTTTTAGTCTCTTTTTTATAAACGGGGCATATTCGCGACTCTTTCCATACTTGTGGATATTCTTTATACTTAACTATAGAATTAAATATGATTTTTAAAGGTTTTATTACCACCACGCGTTACAATAAAACATTGTTAGTTTTATTCCCGTGTCCATAGTTATTTCTAGGCTTCTCGAGTGCTCAAAATTCAAACAAATTCCAATCTATATTTTTCAGGATATTCATATAAACATGTGACATGCTCTTTTACAGTTGCGGTTACAGGTTTAATAAATTCCGATAATATTACGCTGATCTTTATTTTCAACCTGCCAAAATGAAAATGTTTTTGAACATTTACTGAAATTTTTTAAAGAATAATATTCAGTTGGCGTTTTGGTTGTTCATGTGCATTTTTAAGAATCAATTTAGTTTAATAGTTTAAATATATAGATGGCTTTCAGAGGGTCTAATGACACTTACAGTGTACCATGATGTGTACCTGTAGTGAGAAGCGAATTTGTAGCAGCCTGTGTAGTATATACTGTGCATTTACTACTTATCCGATCGTTCCCATAGGGGGAGCGCGGCCTGGCGGCGGCATGTGGAAAACGTGCAAAATAAACAGAACTTTGGGAAAGATTTGACATGGACATGGTAAAAATCTGGAACAAAAACACAGGGAAAAAGAACATTTAGTAGATATCACTATAGATGCTTTAGTAACAAATGTGAATGATGACGATGAAGATACAGATGATGAGGAATTGGCTGATGATAATGAAGACGACGGCGACGTATGCTTGTAAAATACGCCTTTATTGCCCTTAATAATGTTGACTATGTATAGGTTGCTTTATAAAATATAGGGTAGCCCATCGAAAACGTACCGCAAGGCATTACGGGGTAGTAATGAACTTTTCGACAAAATCCAAAAACAGGTAAAGTTTGCTTCTGAAGGGGACAACTTTTGGCGCAAAAAGCATAGAAAAATCTTCAACCCCCTAAGTGGGGGTGCCATCCCCCAAATTTTTTTAAATGGGAATGGGGGTCAAGTGGGGGGTCATTAGAAAGGGCTTTTAATTCTCTATACATCGATTCTTACTTTTTGAAAATCGATTCATTATTTTAGAAAATATGCAGCTTTGAAAATACGAACAATATTTTTGACGAGAAATGCGAAAATCGATTTAATTTTACTTCAAAACTTACGGTATTAGTCAAGTAAATGCTGAAAATGTTGTCCGCCAACTTGCATACAATGATACAGGTTGTCTTCAAACCGTTGTCGAACATTCTGGAGCACTTGCGGTGTTACTTCGCGACATACATTAATGATTCGTCCTCGCAGATCTTCCAAGGTATCAGGTGGAGTGCTGTAAACTTTGCTTTTAATGTGCCCCCAGAGAAAGAAATCTAAAGGATTTAAGTCGGGTGACCGAGGGGGCCACTCAATTGCACCTCTTCGTCCTATCCAGCGTCCTGGAAACGTCTCATTTAGGTAATTGCGCACATTGAGCGAGTAATGTGGAGGAGCTCCGTCTTGCTGGAAAATCAGTTCGTGTTCATTGTAAGCAGGGTCGTCCTCTATGATATTTGTTAGAGCTGGGTCGATGACATTTTGTAGTAAATCCAAGTACATATCGCCTGTCAAATTTCCAGGAAGGAAAAAAGGACCTACAATGGAATTTCCAAAAATACCTGCCCATACATTCAACTTCTGGGGGTGTTGGGAGTGTGTCTCATGGAAAATCCTTGGATTGGTATCAGCCCAGTAACGACAATTATGGCGATTCACTAAACCATTCAAGAAGAACGTACACTCGTCCGAAAAACACACATTAAAGAGGAAATTATCGTTTATCGCTCGTTCAGTCATTATTTCGCAAAATTGCAAACGACGATCAAAATCGTCTTCATTTAGCTCTTGCACTAGCCGAATCTTATAAGGATGGAATTTGTATTTTTTTAATATTCGTTGGACACTTGTACGACTCACTCCTGTCGCAGTAGCCAATTGCATTGTACTCAGCGTACTATCCATTGCC